GATGGTGTGGACCATGGATGTTCTGGTCATGCCCAAGTACTTCCAGCAGAAGATACTGCGCATCAAGTGGAAGATCCTGGCCACCATGGTGCGAGTGAGTTTGGGCCCTCGGACGCTGGAACTGGTCCTGTGAGGCGCCCTTCGTCGACTGTCGTGGAGGTCTCGCCTATGCTCGAGCTCGCGGGGGGCATGGACGGCGACGCGAGCGCGGCCGCCCCCGACAGCGGCTTCAACCAGGTGCCCCCTTCCGAGGCGGACCTGATAACAGGTGCTTCTGACGAAGGTGAAGCCGATGATCTTCCTGGAGGTGGTCGCAGCCCCCCGCTGGGCGCGGCAGCCGTGCCGCATGTGGCTGGAGGTGTTCCTGATGAAAGTGAAGCAGATGATCCCCCTGGTGGTGGTGTTCCTGATGAAGGTGAAGCTGAGGTTCTTTCTGAAGGTGGAAGGGGCTGGGCCTGCTGCTGAAGTTCCTGTGCCTTTACCTGGTGATGGTGTGATTCCTCCTCGTGAAGGTGTGGACCGTGGGAGTCCTGGTCGTGTCCAAGTACCACTAGCAGGAGATGCTGCGCCACAAGTGGAAGTTTCTGGGCACCATGTTGCGGGTGAGTTGGGGCCCACGGGCGTTGGCACTTGTCTTGCGGGGTGCCCCTCGTTGGCTGTCGTGGATGCCTTGCCTGTGCTCGAGTTCACAGGGGGGCATGGGCGGTGATGCGAGTGCGGCCTCTCCCGACAGCGTCGTCAACCAGGTGCCCACCTCCGAGGCGGGCCTGAGGAAGGGTGTTCCTGATGAAGGGGAAGTTGATTATCATCCTGAAAGTGGAGGGGCAGGTCCTGTTGCAGATGCTCCTGCGGTTCTCCCTAGCGGTGGCGAGCATGCTCCTCGTGAGTCTGATGGTGTTCCTGATGAAGGTGAAGCTCAGGTTCTCCGTGGAGGTGGAGGGGATGGACCTGCCGCTGATGGTTATGTGCCTCTACCTGGCGGTGGTGTGTTTCCTCCTCGTGAAGGTGTGGACGGTGGGAGTCCTGGTCATGTTCAAGTACATATAGCAGAAGATGCTGCGCCTCAAGGGGAATATCCTGGACAACATGGTGCGGGTGGGTTGGGGCCCACGGACGCTGGCACTGGTCCTGTGTGGCGCCCTCCGTTGACCGTCGTTGTGGCCTCGCCTGTGCTCGAGTCCCCGGGTGGCTTGGACGGCGACGCGAATGCAGCCTCTCCCGACAGCGACGTCGACCAGGTGCTCACCCCCGTGGCGGACATGAGAGCAGGTGTTTCTGATGATGGTGAAGCAGATGATCCCCCTGGAGGTGGAGGAGCTGGTCCTTTTGCTGAAGCTTCTACGCTTCCTCTCGGCAGTGGTGAGCTACCGCCTCATGGTGGCGTGGGCCGCGGGTGTCCTGGTCGAGTCCAAGTACTGCTTGCAGAAGAAGCGGTGCCTCAAGGTGATGATTCTGGCCATCATGATGCGGGTGAGTTGGGGCCCTCGGACTCTGGCGCTGGCACCGTGAGGTGTCCTTCGTCGGGCCTCATGGAGGTTTCGCCTGTGCTCGAGATCACGAGGGGCATGGACGGCGACGCGAGCGCGGCCTCTTTCGACGGCAACGTCAACCAGGTGCCCACTGCCGAGGCAGACATGAGAGCAGGTGTTCCTGATGAAGGGGAAGCTGATGATCCCCCTGGAGGTGGAGGGGAGGGTCCTGCTGCTGAAGCGCCTGTGCCTCTTCCTGGAGCGGGTGAGCATCCTCTTCGTGGTGGTGTGGACCATGGGAGTTCTGGTCGAGTCCAAGTACCGCCCGCTGAAGAAGCGGAACCCCAAGGAGATGATTCTGGCCGTCGTGATGAGGGTGAGTTGGGGCCCACGGATGCTGGCACTGGTCCTGTGGGGTTCCCATCGATGGGCATCGTGGAGGTTTCGCCTGTGGTCGAGTTCACGATGGGCTTGGTCGGCGACGCGAGTGCGGCCTCTCCCGCCAGCGACCTCAACCAGGTGATCTCCGAGGTGGCGGGCTTGAGGACTGGCCCCGCGGGGGCTGTCGGCGGCGGCGGCGCGGCCGGCGCGGCCTAGACAAAGACGTGCGCCCTTCAGTGGCGTGGGATCCTCCTCCTCCTCCTCCTCCTCCTCCTCCTCCTCCTCCCCCTCCTCCTCTACAGTCAGGGCAGGGCGAGGGGCTTCCTGAATCAATCCCCCCCATTCTCGGGCGGGTAGGGGGCGCCATCTGGAGCTGCCTGGAGCCACCCTTGGAAGCTCCAACCATCGACGACCTCCAGCATCTAGAATTAAGTCGGGCCTGTCCCTCTACAGGGGGAATGTTCAAACATAGTCTTTAAATAGTATGGGGACGATTTTGTTGATCATTTGTCAATATGTTTTGAATATGTTGGGGCTATTTTCTATTTGTCGTCCAAGGGCCGCCTGTAGGGGGACATGCCCGACCTAAATCTAGAACCCCTGGGAAGGGGGCCAGGGGGAGGCGTATCAGGACTCCCCAGACATCCGGCGCTCCAATTTTTTCAATGCGTGGGCCCCTGGAGGTCTGGACAACTTCCCATGGGACCAGCGTTTCGTCCTGAGGCGTTTTTTGACGGTCCCGGGGCCCAACAAGGGCTCCTGGAGGCCGAAAACGGCCAAAACCTTGGCCGCACCAATTTTTTCGGAGCCTCCGACTTCTGGGCGAGAGAGAGGAGGAGGAGCAGGAGGATGAGGAGGAGGCGGAGGAGGAGGAGGCGGAGGCGGAGGAGGAAAAGGAGGAGGAGGAGGAGCAGGAGGAGGACGAGGGGGAGGAGGAGCAGGAGGAGAAGGAGGAGGAGGAGGAGGAGGAGGAGGAGTGGAGGCAAGGAGGGAAAGGAGGAGCATGAGGAGGACGAGGGGGAGGAGAGGAGGACGAGGGCGGAGGAGTGGATGAGGAGGAGGAGTAGGAGGAGGAGGAGGAGGGGAAGGACGCGTATCAGGACTCCCTTCCCCCCCCTCCCACGCGAGTGTTAGGGCGCAGATGGCCTATCGTGCCCCCTTCCCCCCCCCCGACGCGATGGGAGCGGCGGTCGTTTTTTGCGTCCGGGTTCCGTTTTTGGATGCTCCCAGTCGGCAGCGAAATCCGAGCCTTACCCTCTCGAAGAAAGAATTAGTAGTAGTAATCAGGATAAGGATTTTAACCATAAGCAGAATATGCATCAGAAGAAGAAGAAGAGACAACAAACAAACATAATAAGACTAATACTACTATTATCTTCAACATCATCATCATCATCATCATCATCATCATCATCATCATCATCATCATACCAATCATGATACTAATAATACTCATAATCATAATACTAATACTAATAATAATGATAATACTAATAATAATGATGATAATACCAATGATAATGATAATAAGAATAACAATAATAACAATAATAACAACAATACTAATAGTAGTAATAATAACAATAAATAATAATAATAATAATAATAATAATAATAATAATAATAATAATAATAATAATAATAATAATATTATTATTAATAATAATAACAATACTAACAATAATAATAATAATAATAATAAGAAGAAGAAGAAGGAGACACAACAACGCCCAACAACGCCATACACAGAAACTTTTGGCGCTCCGCGCGTATTTCTCGGATCGGCGCTGGGGCCCTCTGGCGGCGCCTCTGGTGCCCGCCGCCCCCGGCGCGCCAGGGAGGGGGGTTTCAGCGCAGATCCAAGAATTCCGCGCTGAGTGCCAGAAGTTTATGTGAACGGCGTTTTTTCTTCTTCTGCCCTCGCCGATCAACGATCCAGGCAACTCGATGGGCGGCGGGGTAGGCTTCGGAACTCGTCGACGACGTGGCCAAAGCCAAGCCCTACCCCCGCCTCCCGTCGACTCGGGAGAACCAGTGGTTGGTGGGGGGGCAGGAGGCTTCGGGTGTCGCCACCTTCTCTCAAGAGCGAAAGAAGGACGTACACGCACATGAATCCGCGCTGGTTTCGAGAGTGCGCATTGCCCGAACTCGGCCTTTGTGGGCTACCTTTACTCGTGGCCCGATATCCCTTGAGATCCCGGCGTGCCAGTTCTCTCGATCGAGCCCAGCGCCGGGTGCGGGGCCCTGGCGAGGCGAGCCGCCGCTGAAGGAAGGACGCACCAAGACAGGCTCCGGGGGCTCGGCCGTGCGTCTTCACGTCGGGTGTTGCCAGAAGTACCCCTGGCCCAAGGTGCCCCCCCGGATCCTCGGGGTGGCCGAGACGGCCTCCATGGGCACCCCCCCTCTCACGAGGCCCCGAGGGCCCCAGCGGGCCCCAGAGTGGAGCGAGAAGCTGGGGGCGCCCTGGGCCAGGGGCACTCCTGGCAACACCGGGTTCACGGTGTCTCGGTCCTCCCGCGCCGTCGGGGCTCGGGGGCGGGACATCGAGGGACAATGCCCGGATCGGAGAGATCGGCTCGCCGGAGATCGAGGCATGCGTCGTCGGAGATCTGCCCCCCCCCCCCCCCCCCGCAATGCTGTGCAGCCCCCCCCCGGGCACCACGCGCCGCAGAAGCAAAAAAGGCACGCTGGTTTCCAGCCCGTCCCTTTCACGCGACCCGACGCTCCCTTAACCAAGGGCGCCCTCGAGGGCGCGAAGTTATTCGCGCTTCGCGCTTCCTCCTCGTCCTCCTCTTTTCCCCTGGGGTGGCGGCGCGAGAGCGCGAGCTTATTCGCGAAGTTAGGCGCCCTTGTTTACAACCCGCCGTGCCCCCCCCCCCCCTGTGAAAGTGCACACCAATGCCTGCACGAATCAGTGAAGTCGCGCCCGTCTCCGATACCTCACGCATGTCGATCACCGCGACAGGAGGTGTCTGACCAAGGAAAGGCCCCGAGGCCTGGCGAGGGCCCCCGGGGGCCGAGAATGGCCACAAGCCTCCCGTCCTGATCCCTTGTCCTGGTCCCTTGTCGATCACGACGCGACTGCGTCTTGGACCCTGCGACGGGTCACGAGGCGTGCCTTCACTCCGCGTTCCGACGGCCACGCTTGCC